CCTCCCCAGCTTACGGGTGACAGTAGAGGCTACAATGGAAGACAACAGAGCTGCCAAATACAGCGACGACGTGAACATCGTCAGCGTTTGGCTGTCGTATTGGCAGTACTGATTGTTCGACTTATCCGCTTCTTTTTTCTCCCAAACACTTCGGAAAAACTTTTTCAGAAACGGAGTCATCGTCGTCACACCGCCTATCAAAAAGAAAAACTTAATATCTCATCGACGATGTATAATTCTACGTATGATCGTCAGATTTACTGACTACGTTACCTGAAATACCGATATCGTAACCGAAAATCAAACCTCCCATGGCCGCTACGATACATGTTACCATGACGAACGGGGTGAGGTTACCCGGGTACTCCTTGCCGGTACCCGGTCCGATTCCTCCCACGGCCGGCATTTTTTTATTTTTCTTGCTTCAATTGCTGAGAAACGAACAAAAGAGGAAGAAGATGGAGGTTTTGGAACAGAATGTTAGTTGTTTATATAGTGAAAAAATAAAATAAATCAAGATTCATATTGTTTCATAAGGGGTGGACTTGAGCTGTCATAAAATATATATTTCTTCACTGTTAATCAATAAGTTTAAATTATTTCATTTTCTTAATACGTTCGATTTTAACATATACTTTTACTATTTCCCCAACGGACTAATTTATAATATATTTGTAACCCTACAAAACAATTCCCATGAATTACTAATAGTTTAATTTAAGCTTCATGTGAACCCAAAACGGTTTCTTAATCAAGGTTTTAATTTAGAGGTCAAATTCTGGTTTTAGTCCTTCTACCATGCTCAAAATTCGGAGTTTCATTGTTGTGCTTTAATTTAGTTTCCATAATTTAACCAATGATAGACCTAGAGGGGCAGGTGGGGTTGTCGCCCCCCTCTAAAATTTTTAAATTCTCTTATATTTTAAATGTTTTATTTGCATTGTTTATTGAATCTCTATTTTCACCCCCTAAAATTTATAAATTCACTTTCCTAACATAAAATCATGTTTATGTCTCTGAATTTAACTTTCTCCTTTTAGTTAGTTAAAAAAGTTGTATTCCGACTAGGAGAAAGCCAGTAACATTTTTAGAATGAACTAGAACTGAATTATAATTTTGGGAAAGTCACTATACTAGTTTACAAATTGACAACCTTTTAGGGATCAAACTAAAATTTTACTAGTTGAGGGCCAAGATCCCTACCTGGCCCTAGTATGCCCAATATTTTAACTTATCAAGTTTAAGGGCAGCAAAATTCGATTTAATTAAAAAAAGTAATTTTAAGTTATTTGAATCAAGTTAAATTTTTAGTTAAATTTTTGAGATTCATTCGTGTTTGAAATTATAAAATTAAAATAACAAAAAACTGAAAATTTTGTGATTTGATCTTTTTCTTCAATTCTTCTTTCGATTGAAGTCTATTTGATTCACATGTTACTCAACCATAATATAATACTTGTGTAACTTAAATTTTTCTTTTTGAACATAAATTTCCTCTTTTTTTAATTTAATCCCTAAACTTCATATTTTATTCAATTTGATCTTTTGATTGCTACTCTTTGCAAATTCTTTGTTATCATCAATACGTTGACTCATTTATAGTTTATACTATCATTAGTGTGCGTTTGGTTAACGAAATGTAAGATTACCAGTAGGAATAAAAGATTATCGGGAAATAGGATTACTGTAAATGTTGTATTTTGAGTTTGGTTGGTTTAGCATAAATGTAAGATTACAGTTTTTGGTTAAAGGAATAAAAGATTATTGAAATGTTTATTTTACCAAATTTTCCTTGTTATATATTTGTTTTTTTAACAAGTTGAATTCCACTATAATATTACTATAATTAATTTATATATTTTCTTTAAAATTTTTAAATTTATAAAATTTATATAATTTTTTTACAAAATTGAAAAGATAAATAGGTTTAATGAAAGGGTAAAATTTTATTTTAACCCCTGAACTTCATATAAAATTTTAATTATAGACCTTTTTTTGTAAATCTAAAATAGTTTAAGGATAAATTTGTAATTTAACCTTCATAGAATTTGTATTATTCAACTACAGAAGAATGATATTTTTGAAAAATAAATTAAAGATATTTTAGTCCAAAACGTTGGTAATCTAACAATACCTAAGGAAGGGGTAATCACATTCCCGGTAATATACCCCAAAATATCCACTGTTGGTAATAAAATATTATCGGGGCTGAGAATGTTGCCAACCAAACGGGAGAATGAGGATTACATTCCCCCGGTAATAAAATATACCTTGAACCAAACAACCCCTTAATACTTTATCCCTAATCCTTCTTTAGAACATAACTATAAATATTATATGATTTTTAAGTATTATTCGATTTATTACATAACATTATAAATCTTACTTACACATATAAAATAAATATGAAAAAATATATGTATAATCATATACTGTGAAAGTGAGCCATTTAAATCGAGACCAATTAGTACACAAAGTTGTAAAAATTTACATTTAAATTTGAACAGAAATTCAAACAGTCATTTTACTCGAATCAATCAAATACTTAATCCTAATAAAATTAACCTGAATTTTTACGTATCCGGAGGCGTGTCTTTAATGAAAATATCCGATCCATATTGGCAAATAATGGAGATTATTTAGATCAACAAATAAAATTATATTAAATTAAAATAAAAGACGAATCCAACACGTATGATCTTATTTAAAATGAGTAGGCAAAACATTTGGTTCTCCAACTAATTAAGAAAATTTTGCCTTATCGGAATTTGGATAATGTTGGATTTGATGTCACGTTGGATTAATGTCATAACAGCGGAGAAAACGTGAGTTTAAAGGCCTTTACAGCCAAGTTTTAGCATGTGAACACCGAACACTTGGATATGCAATTACTCCTCCTCCTTCGTTTCTAAAATAATTAATAATAATTTCATTTTCAAAAAAAATAATTTAAATATGTTAATCGAATCAAACTATACAAGATTTGATAAAATCTTAAATAAAATTTTCAATTTAGATAAAAAAAACTTGTGTTAAAATAAATAGTTTTTATTTAAGAATATAATTTTTATCATCGAGCCTTCAAATATTTCTTGTTACTATTGTTATAGGTGGTCGTGTCTTACGACTAATATATAATTTAAAGAGACACATTTAGAGAATTTGATATAAGTGACTCAAGATCATTATAAAACCTATCATACTTATTTTTATAAATTTTTATTGTTGCTATTGTTATAGGTGGTCGTCTGACGACTAATATGTGTATTTTTATAAATTTTCTTATAATTTATATATTATACTTCTTTCTACATTTTGTTCGAAATATTTCAAGTAAATATATTTTTGTTTTATGATGTTACTTTTTGTTTGTGGTTATCTTTCTAATTTCATAACATATCATTGCATACACCACAAACAAGTTAGTAAATCATTTTTAGAGGTGAACGTCTACTATCATAAGATCAAACATTGAAGTTTTATTTTAAATACTTTTAGTGGCAGATATCTAAACTTGTGATATTTGATTTTAGTATTTTCTTAAGATTTAACATAAATTAATACATTAATTTTCTAAAAAAATATTTGATATTTTAATAATACTATAGTACTATACAAATTGTTTTCTTTAAATACTCGTAAATTTACATAATACTATTAGTTTACTGACATTTCATACCTCAAATTGCATCCCCAACATGTTTGACTCAGATATATGTTAGTTGTATACGAATATGATGAATTCAGTTTTCAGTAAAAAGGGTGAGTCAACTCGTGCAAATTGGGGACCTTTTTAGTAAAAAGGGTGAGCCAAGTCGTGCAAATTGAGGGGACCTTAGAAGCCTGGCTGGGACCCGACACGAGTGACCACATGCATGGTTTGGAAACTATTCCTACTTGCTTTACATTCACGTACTTTTTACTGGGACTCCAATTTAAAGGTTTTTATATCAAATAGTCCTTTTAATTGTATTAAAAAAATTAAATGAATCTTCAATTTGAATTATGAATCAAACTGGATTTTATTTAATAATTTATAATTAAATATATCATTAAAGTTACTTGAAACATTAAAAACATCTACTGAAATTATCACAAATTAAGGGCTCCTTTGATCATGTTTTTTTTTCCCTTCCGATTTGAAGGTTTTGTCCTAATTAATTTAAATCGATCCACGTCACACACTTGATTTTAGTGGGTGAGTATTCCGATGGAAATTTTCTGTATACACAAAGACTCAAACTCAAGACTTTGCTCAAACGATATAAAATTCAAAAAGTACATTTAATATATAAAAATTGTAGAAACATATAATTTCAACCAAAGATACATATAATTTGAACCAATACATATAATTTGTAGGCATAATTAAAAAGACGAGTCTGTCATGCTCGACGAGTACCGTTGAGCACAACTAACAATGAACACAATTAATTTAATTTATAAAAATTTAAAATTCTAAAGGAATCAACGTATAATTATAAATTAGTTAAATATTTAAAGGTAAATTAGTTAAAATAAAGGATAAATTATATCAGTGACCACTTAACTATAGCCCTTTTTCATTTTGGCCACCATTTTTTAATTTTTGTCAATTAGATAATCCAACTATTTAAATACATTCAATCAGAACACTTATCGTTAACATTTAACGAAAATACTGATGTGGTGTTAATAAAATTGGTATAATTACACATTTGATCCTCAATATTTATACATTCTATCAATTTGATCATAAATTTAATTCAATTTAATAAATTTAATTTCTAATTAGGTGGTGACACATGTCACTATGTGGTTGGATGATATTTTTTAATTTGAATTTATTTAATTTAATATTTTACCTTTCAATTAGGTGGTTACATGTTTTTTTTACCAATAGCTATATAAACACATTACATTTTGCCCTTGCTGATTGAGAATCATATATTTGCTACTTTTATTTTACTGGTATGTCTATCCCCCAATAATTAATTCTCGTTGACCACGTCCTATAGGGATCATCGAATCAATAACAATAAGTCCGTTTGAAGAGACCCATAAACGGAACATCTCGAAATAATACTCGGGGCAGGAGATTCAATTAACTGAGATTCAGAAGCTGAAATTTTACTCCGACCGTCAATAGGCTCAGCGAGGACATTTATAACACAACCCAAATAATTCTCACTCACCGGTATCTGAGCAATTTTTCCTGTTGCTTTTACAAAACTTCCCTCTTGTATCATCAAACCGTCACCCATTAATACAACACTAGCATTACTTGATTCCAAATTCAGGGCAATTCCTATTGTACCTTCTTCAAATTCTACTATTTCACCTGTCATTATTTCATTAAGACCATGAATACGAGCAATGTTGTCGCCCACTTACTATACCAGTATTTACAATCTTCAGTCTTCACCCCCTAAATAAAGGGAAAACGAGTTTCGAAAGAAATGTTGCGAGTGTTATTCAAACTTGGGACAAATATGTTGAACTTCGCGTGCCTTGACAAGTCAGCCTGCAATAACAATTGGTGATATTTTACAACAAATGTTATATATTCTACAGCTCTTGATGATAGGAAAAAGAAGAAGTCGCACTGCTAGTCTGGAGACTTGAACAAAGAGATTAGACAAATGTGTAAGCAATTTAACCACTAGGCCAAATTATTTTTCTAATTATATACATAATCATTAAATTAATTATTTTTAACATAATTAATAATTTAAGTTTTTATTAAAAAATAAACTATAATTTAATTTTTTAATAAATTTAAGATGTGAATCTATTAAGACTATTATAAGTTTTTATCATTATCGAGACTGTATGTGGATGTTTTAGCTTTCGAGTAGTATGTAAGAACATTGTTTCTACTCCCGATTGTAAGAATAGATATCATGCTTGTCGTTTATATATAATATTTTTGTTTTGTTTTTCTTATATATATATATATATATGTTATAAAAGTGTTCAAGTACATAATTAAATAGTTCTCTTATTTATTGTGCTAGAATCAGATAAATTATGGAGAACAACTCAAACAGAAAATTTTATAGATTAAAAAAGAAAAAATAATTATAAAATTATAAAATTAAAAACATATTTTTATTTTCAAATCTTGTATTCAATTACTTCTACCATTAACGATATTAAGAATATATAAAACAAGTTGTAATATGTGCTAAGATATATAATTTGCCTAGTAGTTAAATTACTTACACCTTTGCATAATATACTTGGTTTGAGTCCCCATCATAGTATTTTCTCTTTTTTTTCCCTATAATCAGCATCTATATAATATATAAAGTTTGTTGTGGAGTATTATAATTGATATTTCAGGTTGAGTGGTTTAGGTGTACGGAGATTAACCCACTTATCCCTAGTTCGATACTTATCAACTACCTAATTGAAAATTAAATATATTAAATTGAATTAAATTTATGACCAAATTGATAAAATGTATAAATACTGAGGATCGAATGTGTAATTATACCAAATTTATTAAATGTCACATCAATACTTCCGTTAAATATTGAATTAATTTCAAAATATGACCAATTTGATAGATTGTTAAGTAATAAGGATTATGTGTGTAATTATACAATTTTTATTAACAATCACGTGAGCGCTTTTGTTAATGACAAGTGGATTGATTAAATATAAAATAGTTTAATAACTTGATTGAAAATATTTTAAAATAGTGGTCAAAATAAAAAGAAGCAGTAGTTAGGTGATCACTGTTATAGTTTACCCAAAAAAGATTATGGAAAATAATATAATAAATATTTTTTTAACTAATTTACTTTTAAACTTTTAATTAATTTATTATAATTTGTATAATTTTTTTAATTAAAAATACATTGAATATATAAATTTAATTTAAAAATAAAAAATTCGCAACTTCACTAAATGCGTTGAATTCCAACGTGCGGGAATGGTGAATGCAATCTCTGTTTCTCATGGGATAAAGATTGCAGGTGTAACGGCGGGGATGATGGCAGTGGAGGGATTTTGGCCCACAACGCAGAAACTGCGAACCGCATTCCCAATGTTTCTGTGTAAAAGCATGTTAAAATTGTCAAACAGGTTTATCATAAGAATATAATGAAATTATATTAAAAGATTTTAAGATACGAAATTATAAGAATATATTCTGTTTGACTTCTTAAATATTTTTATCTTATGGATAAAGTGTTTCCATCAACATGATCATTTGTTTGGATGTTAAAAACCAATTTAAATCTAATTTCAGGAACGGAACTAAAAAATTATTAAAATTATTAAAATATTTTTTTTATTTTCAAAAATAATATTATTTTTAATTGAAGAGTCTGGTAAAAAAATTTATTTATTTCTAAAAAATATAAAACTTTTTAATATTAATTAATATTAAAATAATTAACATGGACCCAAACTTATATCGGTCTCTAGCGATGTTCCGTCCATATCTGACTTGAAACGTATTTTTAAATACGTAAATCAAATTTTAAATATGTGACTAGCTATGTGTTTAAAATTTTATTCGCGTGTTTTATATATACTCTATGTTATAACATTTTGAAAGTTTAAGAATTAATTTAAAATCTAAATCGCAATTTTGGGATATACGATAAAATTAGCCTTTTATCTTTTTAATATTAAAAAAATAAGTTTTCTTTAATTAACTATTGATATTTAATCTATTAATTAACTAATTCAAACCAGAATTTACGGATGTCAATTATGGGGCAACCCTCCTAACTCGATTTGTTTCATTCGTAATCGTTATGATTTGAACAATGGCCTTACTAAAAGAATCTAGTACCTCAATCTCACTATACTAGGATGTTCAAACTTCAGTTTTAACCGATTTAACTGATCGAACCGATTTTTTTCAATTAATTGATCGGTTAATTTTAGGTTTGATCGATTAATGATTTTTTCAAACTTTAATTATCAGTTAATTCAATTTAAAATCTGTTAATTAACCAAATTTATTTCATATTTAATGTATTATATATATTACTTAGTCTTAAAAGTGTTTAATCGATTACATTAATTGAATTAATTGAAAATATATTATATATATTATTTAAAAACTTCATTAATAATTAACGAATTTTGTTCTATTCGATTAATAATTTTTAAAGAAAACTTATTCCGTTTAATGATTAAAAAATTGATTAATAAAATTTAAAATAATATAATTAGGTCGATTAATCGAATTAACCATTAAACACCCTTGCACTAGATTAACAAACTAATTGTTGGTTAAAAAAAGTTATTATTATCCTTACATAAATTGAAATACGTTTATGGTAAGTCCAAATTCTGCAAATTACAAACGACAAATCCATTGGTGCCGCAACTCATTCTTCCACCACGATAATGCTTTGCTGGTTTATTAATATTACCATAATTATTATAATAATTAATTTAATTATTAATGTGTATATCCTCGTCGTCAATGCGATCAATTTATATGATTCTTTGTGCTAATCCACCTATTTTTAAGGTAAAAAACAAAAACAACAGGCCAACAAAGGGCACTTATTTCATATTTAATGGCACGTTGTGAATGACATCCGTTGTCTGTATTAGGGATGATCATGGTCTGATCCAGTGTTTAACATATTTAAATTTAGTTTGAAAATTTTATTCTTATATCTATCATTCTTGATTCGAACTTTGGGAGGTTCAATTTGACTTTGTATTCAATCTGATTGTAGGATAAAATTTTACATCTGATTAATTCGACTTGGCGCACACATGTAATTTTTCATGGATCATTTTGTAATAATTTGAAAAGTATAATGATCATATTATAACATCTAAAAGTTAGATGGCCAAAAAGATTATTTTGATATGGCTTAGTAACTTGTGGTGTATTTTACCCTTAGTTTAAACCCATTTGTCATAGAAGAACCTAGCTTGATCCGACCTGGTTCAAGATTAAAAATGAGGTTAAAACCTTCAAATGGACTCCTTGTGCTTTGTGTTTGACCATGAATGTTTACAGCACACCGACAGTAAATAAATATAAAAAAAGATAAAAGTTTTGGTCCCTAGATGATTAAGTTGTTTTTCTATCCAAAGTTTAAGTTATCGAGTTATTCTCTGGCAAAGTAAGCAAGGCAATAAGCTGTAAAGATTCCATGGAAGTAGGATACATGATTAATCAGAGAAGAAGAAGATAATGATTTAAAACAAAACCCAACATGAAAGAGGAAGAAAAGACAGCTATATCATTAAGGATACATGAGCAAAGTATGGGATGATACATGTTTTAGCTAGAAGCAAGACAGCGAAGAAGTACATCATGTGGCCTTAGAGGCTTAGATATTTTATACAATAAATAGTAAATTGAAAGAAAGAAAACACATAACGAACATATCAATTTTACATGCAAACCCTAAAAACGAAAAATCATGAATAGGGAAAAGTAAAATGCCGATAGAGTTGTAAACTTAAATTTCATCATTCAAGAAAATTCTAGGAATAATATATGATTTACGAACATAAAACGAGTTAAGTGACTCATATGGACATACATAAGAATTTATGTGAATGACTTAGAAAGTTATATTAAAAATTTAAGAAGCATGAAAATAGATCATCAATAAAAGATACAAAGAAAATACACAAATTATATGAGAAATTAAACTTTTTACAGGTGCACCCTCATCCATTTTTGATGACTCAATTCATAATATGATGTGATACATTCGTAATATTTACGTGTCTTATATCTGTAGACACCCGTTTTTGTCGGGTTATAAATATTATATTAATTACAATAAAATTATAATTATTATTAGTAGTATTATTAATATTATATATGTTTTTATTATGCAGACCCAATTGGAAGCTCATTACATTAACCCAAACTGGCCCAAATTGATTACAAGTTCAAGACAAGCCCAAAGCACTAAACCCGATCCAAGTGAAGCCCCTTGAGGTTGTCACCCATGCTATTTCAAACTGCCCACGTGAAGCAGCTTGGTTACCCATCCCACGTGACATGCTCCCAATGAAGACATAACAGTTGTCTCCACGTGAAACACTGACCAAGCACAACACCCACGAGCGCCCATGCTTGCCCCGACAACACCCACATCGCTCCATGTGCAGCCACACATTGAGTTGCCCAAGTGGAAACATGGCTCTGTTGTCCATGCTCCATTATCTCCACTGCCCAGGCAAGCACCAAGCCCGAGCAGAACATCTCAGTTTCCCACTGCTCCATTACTCGTGCCAACCCCGTGCCCATACTCTGGCACCCTGAAAAACAACAGACAACTATTAAAAAAAGTAATCAGAACAAAATGAGGGAACATAATATTACGGGTGTAATATCCTCAAT